CGCTGAGTTAGAAACATGAAGGGAACATGAGAAGAGACAGGAGAGAGTGAAAAACAATAGAAACAATCTAAGAAATTATGCAATTTAATTCACCAATCTTAATTAAGAAATAATATAAAATAATAAATCTGTGATAATTTTACAAATAAATAGTTTTAAATCTATACTAGCTACTCGTACATTTTTAAATGACAAGAGAGTTTTATAGACTTTCTATAAATAAATCATTTCTATTGGTCAAATTCTAGGAAATAGGGAAAAAATAAACACTTCTAACTCATTTTTGGGGGGTCAGTAATGAAAAGTATAAACTAATTTCTCTTGTAAACATAAATGCAAAAATCATAAATAAAATATTACTAAACAGAATTCTACAATATGTACAAATTATGTATATTAGAGAAGGCTATTTTGTCAGTGTGTTGGTTTAATATTTTAGAATGTTATATGGCCAGGAGATGGTGTTATGTTGCTGGACTTGCACATGGTTGATCATGGTTCAAGTCCCAGACCCAGTGGCTTGAAAATTATACCAGGTGTGGGTGTGTGTGTGCATGCCCAAGATCCTGGGAGGAAAATGGAGGAGAAGAGATTGAGACATGGCCATCCCCCTGGGGGAGGGTGGCGGTGGTAATTACTCACTTTCCCTCTCACTGTCTTTGTTTCTTTTTCTCTCTTGGAGAGCACACATGACCAAAGGCAAAAACCTCTTTAATACAGTTAAAATAGTAATGCAATTCAACACCTTAACAGGGGAAAATGTAGAATATTATAATAATTGAGAAAAACATATTCAAAATATTCAAACATATTTTAAGCAAACTTACTTAGCAAACTAGAAATAATATAGAATTTTCTTAAGCCAATTAAGAGAATGGGATCCAAAATTTCAGGACAGAGCATTCCCAATGGAATGCACATATTTTAGTTCTATAATTAATACATGAAAGCCAGTAATCACATTCATATAGTATCCCAGTGAAAGCCTAAACTAAAAGCCTAAAGTAAGTAAAAGACTGAGAATAGAGATTCTGAAATATGTGGTCAGAGATAGATAGTTAAGGAATCATTTAAACCAAAAAAAAAAAAAAAAAAAAAACAAGATAGAAGGAAAATATGTTAGAATTTTAGGGAAAGGGGAGATAAAGGACTAAAAATGAGTGAGAAAAGGTGATTAGAAACTCAATCCTGGGACCAGCAGTTAGCGTAATGGCTATGTCGCTGGACTCCCACGTAGTCAACCGCAGTTCGCGTCCCAGACCCGGTGGCTTGAACTCATGCCAGGCGCGTGTGCGTGCGTGCCCAAGATCCCGAGAGGAGGATGGAGGAGAAGGGAGTGAGGTGTGGCCATGCCCCCCCTAGGGGGGTGGTTACTCGCTTTCTGTCTCTCTGTCTGGTGAGTGCACACGCCCTATAGCAAAAACCTCTCAGAAAAAAAAAAAAAAAAAGAAAGAAAGAAAAAAGAAAAGAAACTCACTGCCTAAATGGCAGTATTTAGAAATCAAGGGAAGAACAGTTTCTCCTATTTGGCCTTTTGTTCCAACTGAGAGGTTTAGTCGAGAAAGTTCCTGGGTTCTGAAACTGATGGAAGCCATGAAAAGATAAAGAAATTAGTCTGAAAAGATTCCAAAATTCGACTGCTAATCAGAAAGAGATCCACCACAATATCTGAAAAAAATGTATTTTAATTTTTTAAAAATCAGCTCACCTTTTTATAAAGGGATGGGCAGAAATTTTGTGATACATTTCTAAATGCCTTATCAGATGCAGACTCCAAATTAACAATAGAAACATGAAGTTTATTGTGAAGATTCTTTAATTCTCTAGCACAACAATTTAAGAAAAAGTGTTTAAATATATG